TTTTTTTTTTTGATTTTGGCACTGTTTTCTGTTGAGCCCATATAATATCGATTCTCTGTGCTGCCTAGTTTGGACCAAAGATTGAGCTCATTTTGTTGTGCAGGTTTTGTTTTGAACTTGTTTGTACTTTTCTTGTTGGTTCATCTGGGAGGGAGGAATTTATTTGCTTTGGTGGGGTTAGTGAATAAGCATGAATGCATGTTGAGCTATAGGTCTCATTGCACTATTTTTTATTCTGCACCGACGTTTTTTAGACCATTTCTGAAGTATTGATGCTGATATTTAAGTTCTGGCTGAATTGGTGAATAAGAATCGGAAGTGTGATATATACGTTTTCCGAACATGTCTCGTGTGTGTATTTTATACTCGACTGGTTCATGAAGAAACATTGCAATTATACTGTCCTTTCGCCAATGCAAGCTCACAATCATACATTTATTCATGGGTTTATGTAGATTGTTCTTTATCTGCAATTATATTGTCAAGAAATGCTTCACCTTATTTCTATTAGTTTATGTTGGTGCTGGGTTTTTGTCAAATTAGTATGGCTTTTACTTGATAGAAATTATGTACATCTGTGACATGATGATTGCTCATCAGGAAAATGATTATGATCAGCTATTGGTTTCTCAATAGGAACTGTTAATCATGTCTAGATGTAAATGCACTTAGAATTTCAGTAAATATCAGGTTTCCCAAGTATGCATTGTCTTCTCCAAGTTAACTTGTCTTGGTATGTTTGCCCTTGAGCTTCTGAATTGAACAACAGTAGTTCTTTTCCCCTGCTGGACTGGATCCATTGACATACATGCTGCGCTCATGTGATTTTCCTGTTTTGATCTTCTCTTTGCTGGTTTATAGTTTAATAGTTAATCTTTTAGGCCAAATTTGAAGTGAGAGAATTGAAATCCCTTGATTTAAACTCTTTGAAATTCAAATTTGCTAATTTTAAACTTCTTGAATGGATTTGTGGAAATGAATATAAATCTATTTTCTAGCTTGCATTGGTGGTGTTGGCTCGTGGTGGTGATAAATCTAAATGAAGAGTCATACTCGCGAAGGGCATGGTCGTCAACGGAGTGATAAACAGTGGATTTCATATGACTAGTTTTGAGGAATCATTTAAAATCCTTCAAAATAATGATTAAAATCTATCTCACGTGAATTTGAAATCCTCCAAATTCTATTATCATCCGAACATGCACGGGTATTTGAACTTGTAAATTTGAAATCTATAGATTTCAAGTCCCTCGATAAATGCCTCAATCCAAATGTAGCCTTAGAGTTTTGATGATCCATGTCATGAAACAACTGTGGATTTTACTTGTATTTTTATTATTTGTGTTTTTCTTGTTAAAGACACTTGCTCTAATGAACTGGATCCTCGAGCATTCGTACAATTACGTTTACGCATTACTGTGTCGAATATTTCATTGTGCTGTCGTGTATTCTGTTTGGCTGTTTGATGGGACCAGCTGTTGTTGGAATAACTTTGCTTGCTGATATATACTGCTGCGATGTTATGTATTTTTAATTTCTGGCCAAATATTTAATAGAATGTGCGATCACAAATCTGTTCTCTCATTTACTTGTTTTATGAACCGAGCATCTACTTACAATTTTCTTAAATATTTTAGGTTACAAGTTAAAAGTAGAAATGGAAATTACTGGTACAGCAGGGGATGATCCTCCTTCACCTTTGGCCCCACCACTGATAACTATGCCACCAGAGGCGAAGTTGGAACCGGTAGACTTGCATAAGAAGTCTATCATCACACGGCCTGGATTTGGGACTTGTGGCCATCAAATACCTGTTCTCACAAATCACTTCAAAGTTTCCATCAGAAATCTTGACGAAGTTTTTTTCCAATACAACGTAAAATACAGTACCTTCATCATTTTTCTAGTTTATACATGTAGCATGAATATAATTTGCTTTTTCTACACCATCTTAATTGCAGGTTTCTATTAGTTTTGAAGATGGTAGGATGGTTGAAAACAAGGTTATTGGGAGAAAAGTTATTGATCAATTGTACCAATTGTACTCTTCACAACTTTCTGGGAAGGGATTTGCATATGATGGTGAAAAGAATCTGTATACAGTGGGGCCTTTACCGCAGAACAAGCTTGACTTCACCGTGATTCTTGAGGATTCTGCAATTACGAAGCGGTAACATATAAATTCAAACTTATGCTACTTATAGTTTTCCCTTTTTTTTCCCTTAAAAATCATCCATTACGCAATAGTGGGGACCCTTGTGATAATGGAAGCCCGAGGGAGTCTAACAAAAGGTCTAAGAGCTTCATACACTCAAAAGCATTCAAGGTGGAGATAAATTTTGCTTCTAAAATTCCCTTGAAGTCCATATCCCTAGCCCTTCAAGGTGCTGAATCAGCAAAAGATCAAGCTGTCCTGAGTGTTTTAGATATCCTTCTTAAGCAACAAGCAGCTAATCGGTAATCCCATATTATTCACCTTTCCATACATCATCTTGTATACAGTTGGTTTGCACCTAAATGGTGAGCTTTAACATGCAGAGGGTGCCTTGTGGTTCGGCAATCATTCTTTCATGACGATTCACGGACTTTCACTGATATTGGAGGGGGTGTGACAAGTGTGAGGGGATTCCATTCCAGCTTTCATCCAACTCTTGGCGGTTTATCTCTAAACATGGGTATTACTGTTTTTTTTTTTGTTATGCCCTATCGTAGTGCTTGGACAAGATTTCATTTTGTATTAATTATGCCACTAATAAATTTGTTGTCAGATGTTTCAACAACCATGATATTGAAACCGGGACCTGTTGTGGATTTCCTTCTTTCTAACCAGAATGTGAAGGAAGCTCGAGATATTGACTGGTTAAAGGTATTTCAACTTCGAATATTTTACTTGCTCTACTGTTTGGACCTGTAGTGGTTCATGGTACTGATTCTGGAGTACAGGCCAAAAAAATGCTCAAGAATATGAGGATCAAGGCAAGCCATAGTAATAGGGAGTTCAAAATTACTGGTTTAAGTGAGAAACCTTGCAATCAGCAGCTGTAAGTAATGTTATCCTTTTTTTTGAGCTAACTTCCTAGTTAGAAAAACTCTGATGTTAATATGTATATTTCAGTTTCTCAATGAAAGTGAAAAGTGATAGTAGTGCCAGAGACAATGAGGAGACCCTGGAGATTTCTGTTTATGACTATTTTGTTAAGCACCATAACATAGAGCCTAAACAATCAGCATACATGCCATGTCTTGATGTTGGAAAACCTAAACGACCAATCTACCTGCCACTAGAGGTAAAATATTTCTTTATGTTATTTTATATGAAATTTAATTCATCCTGTTCTATAACACTTCGTTTTACTTTTTTGGTGGAAATGCAGCTCTGTTCTCTAGCTTCTCTCCAGAGATACTCTAAAGCATTATCAGGATTGCAAAGAGCGTCTTTAGTTGAAAAGTCAAGGCAGAAGCCACTTGAGAGAATTCAAGTTGTAACCAATGTAGAGTTTTCCTAACCATGTCTTTATATACTTTTGTCTTTTGTTGCATGGTGATTTCACTTCTAACTTGGATCATCCCAGGCTGTTAAAAACTACAATTATGAGGAGGTTCCACTTCTTGCCATTTGTGGTGTATCAATTGAAAAACAGCTAACTCAAATAGATGCACGTGTCTTGGAACCACCGAAGGTAGTTATTTTTATAAATGTGGTGCATTTTATATATAAACAATGACTGAATCTCTGTCACCTTCCAGTTGAAGGTTGGCAATAGTGAAGATTGTGTACCACGTAATGGCAGGTGGAACTTCAATAACAAGGTATCCTTTGTGCATTCAGTCTATGTTACTGTGGTTCACAGACAAAACTGAGGAGATACTTCTTCATATCTTGTTTCCTGAAGTACGGAAGAAATTCTTTCTTATTCCTTTTCATTTTTTCTTTTATTCATAATCCATTCTCTGGTTTTGATTTTTTTTATTTTTTTATTTTTTTTATTTTTTTGCAGAAACTTCTGAACCCTAGCCAGATAAATCATTGGGCACTCGTCAATTTCTCTGCACGCTGTGACACCAGCCATCTTTCACGGGAACTCATCAACTGTGGGAGGAACAAGGGCATTGTATGGAGTATTATATTCTCCTTCTATTTACTTTACATATGTTATATCTATTCATTTTTTTTATGCAGCATATTGAGCGTCCCTACACAATAATCGAGGAAGATCACCATTGTAGAAAATGTAGCCCCGTGATACGCGTAGAACAAATGTTTGAGCTGATTATAGCCAAGTTACCCAGCCCTCCTGAGTTTCTGCTTTGTGTTCTGCCAGAGCGGAAAATTTGTGATATTTATGGTAGTAAATCTGCTGTCACGCCTTCTGTAACCCTTTTAATAGAGTTATCAATTTCCTTTATTATGTATATTACCGAGTTTGGGTAACCATGTAGGTCCCTGGAAGAAAAAATGCCTGACTAGCTTGGGTATTCCCAATCAATGCGTTTCTCCTTCCAAGATCAATGATCAGTACTTAACAAATGTACTACTCAAAATCAATACAAAGGTACTGAGTAAAATTTCAGAAGATTAAACTTTACTCTCGAACTTTTTGGGGTATTAATTTTCCTCATTTTTGTCATAGCTAGGAGGTACCAACTCTTTGTTAGCGATAGAGCAGGTCCACGGAATTCCGCTCATTATGGATAAGCCGACCATGATCTTGGGAATGGGCGTATCACACGGTTCCCCTGGTAGATCTGATATCCCATCAATTGCTGCTGTATGTTTGCTGTCTCGTAGAACTTTCTGCAGTATAAGTATTAGCAAAAATATTTAATTCATGTTTAATTCTTTGGATGCTTTATTTATCGGTCAGGTTGTAGGTTCTCGAAATTGGCCACTGATATCTAGGTACAGAGCAGCTGTAAGAACTCAATCCTCAAAGGCGGAGATGATAGAGTCTTTGTTCAAGCCGCTGGAGAATGGAGATGACGATGGCATTATGAGGTGCTTCACTTATATATAAGTATTTCAACTTTGCAGTTCACTTCTACGGTATTGTGTGAAAAAATTGTAGTTCCGCTAATGCTGAGAAAGTGCCGCTGTTGTGCTGCAGGGAACTGCTTGTGGATTTTTATAAAACCAGTGACGGGCGTAAACCAACCCAAATCATTATTTTCAGGTGATCTAGCTTCCCAGTTCAAACTATTTATTCTAAGATTTGTGTAGTTTATTTTGATACTTTACATGTTTTTAACATGTTCATAATTGACTTTTAGTTTCTTTAATTTGAACGATGCATTTGTCTAGTTGAGGTTTTATGTCTGCCGTAGTTTATTTGTTTGCTGAGATCTGGTCAATCATTATTCATGTTGAATTTGTATAACCAATTATAGTCTGATTTATTCAATATAGGGGAGTTACTAACAAAGCATCCATTCTTCAAGGAACATGAGATAGAAAGAAAAGAAAAAAAATCCATGGTTCTCCACTTATATTCAGTTTTTTATTTACATTGATCGAAGATGGTCATTTACTTTCTCTCAGGGATGGTGTGAGTGAGTCACAGTTTTCTCAGGTTTTGAACATTGAGCTCGATCAAATCATCAAGGTAGCTTTCCACTTCCTAGTCTTTAGACATCATTTTGAGATTTAGGTGATGATTTGACTTTATTTCATTTGAAGTATCACATATTTATTTTTGTTCGAACATGGAAACAATTATGTCGACTTATGAGGACGGACATTTCATTCCCCTTGGTGTTGTATTACTTAGTGTGAAAGAAATTGATCAAAATCTATGAGCAAATGAGCCTGCTGTACTATGAGACAGCTGAAGTTTTGCTATCACAGGCCTATCAACATCTTGGTGAGTCGGACGTTCCAAAATTCACTTTGATAATAGCTCAGAAGAATCATCATACCAGGCTATTCCAAGCTTCAGCCTCAGAAAACGTCCCATCTGGTGTGCCTCTTGTGCTTGATACATTCTAACTCTTGTTTATGCAAGCAACAAAAAAATGCTGATCTCTCTCTCTCTCTCTCTCTCTCTCTCTCTCTCTCTCTCTATCTATCTATCTCTCTC